GCGATAGTGTTTCTTGTTATTGAAATCAATTGTTCTAATTCACTTGAGAATAATTTAAGAATTTCTTACGATTGACGGAAGATTCTGATCATGATCGAGATTAACGACGTGGAGTATGGCAGTTATTTCTCTCAATACTGCCTTTCTCAATACTGCCTTTCATAGTGGTATTTGCAACAGTTTCTCGTTATTCAATCGCAAGAAGAAACATTAGTACGAGACCATTGACAAGTTGTCTAATTTTCTTAGAGAGTTTTTTTTTGCATGGTAAAGTTCAGTGTTGGGAGGAATAAAGAATAGTGCAATAAGTCTTCCTTGGTCCAGCTTCTTCCCGAGGGTCCATCTTCACAGTAGAATTAAAAGTAGACGAGCATTTGCATTAAAACTGAGATGTCAATTTGAACGTTATTTCAAAGAAACTCTTCTCTCTCGCCTGTCTAAACGCCTTATTCGTCAACTCTTCGAAAAAAGCGAGAGACTTCGGGCAGGTTTAGCTTGCAGTGATCGATACCTTTTTGTAGATCTCGTAAGCTCAACCGATGCCCCAATTTAATTTCATGCAAAGCCCGGATATCTTTCAAGATGGCGCTGGGAACAGCATTAAAATAACAGAATGTAGTCGACACTTYAAAAGTTCCAAGATCTTTTCTTTTTCAAAGGGTTTATCATATTACGTCACGCACTGAGAGAGGTGCATACAGGTGTTACAARTCTAGAGCATATGTCGCCAGTCGATATTATAGTTGATACAATAACTGCAACAGGCAGTGCCGTTGGATGGAGTATTGCTCGAGTATTTTACTTGGTCTGAAAATTAAACCAAAATCATATCAGTCAAATAATTTCTACGTAACTTCTACAGTAAATTATAGACATTGTTTCCTGGCCCTTATCCCTTCTCTTTGGGTTATTAGGCGAGGAATAAGGGACGGCCAACGAGGTTGTATATAGCTGTTTCTAAAAAGGCTGTCGGATAAATGGCGAATGTCAATGGTCGAACGGCGATTGTACGGCCGAAAGTAGCCATGGGTTTTGCTAGTTGAAAGGCAATAACAACTGATTTTTACTGTAAGATTGTCTGTGGCAAACATTGGCTCCATTTAGTCTCCATTTCCATGTAAGGGGAATCCAATAAGTGAAATTAGTTTTGTTTATCAAGAGTGTAACCATCGTCCCTTTCGGTCGTGCAATCTCCCCCTCGAAAATCGCCGTTCACCGTTCTCCCCGACAACGTTTTTTGAAATAGCTGTACATAACAGTTTTAAATGTACAGCAAAAAAGCGAATCACAATAAGAATCATTACGACACATTAGCAAACATAACATTTGTGCATGGACTACACTTCCCATCATGCTTTGAGATGGAAAATACCGTYGCATTGCCTATTGGGTAATAGCTATTGTCATAGCTGTGYAGTTCACTTACCTTGACATGAATGCAATAAAGTAGGAAGCWAATGTTTTGGTAAAGTATTCTTGCTGTGCTGCATGACATAAAGCAGCCAGAGGACCACTCAGGTCTTTAATAGGCTGTACTTTATCTTCACTCTGTCATAAATGGAAGAATCTTTAGAGTTCAGGAAAGAGCAAAATAAGTTGCAAAAATACTATGCAGGATATGGAAGACAAATCGTTTGACTTTCACATGACTCGGATAAGGATGTA